TCGAAATACAATCATTCGATTTGTTGGTATATATCATGCCATAGGCTGAAATTCTAGTAAAATGCCTATAACTCTGGGCAGAAGACCTAACAGCCCTTATCCTTTTAGGTTTTTTCATACCTCATTGGGGTCTACATTATGCACAGAGTCCGAACTCAAAAGCGATTTTACACTTGCATATGCTCCCTCGTTAGATATTATTAAATAGAACTTCAAAAGTTATCAATCACTATAAGTAACACCTCCGTGAGATTTCACCAGACCAAAACTTCATAACATACATGATGCTTTATTAATCTGCTTTTTTTATGATGAGAACTTTGCCGAAACAAAAAACGAGTATTTTACTCACTCGTTTCTCTAAATTATTCACTGCTGTCATATTAATACGTAATTTTGTAACATTTTGTAAAGATTTATTTAATAGAAATGGATTATATGCTATGGAAAAAAATGTTGAACAATCATAATAATGAGTATCATGTGGATATGGTAATGAATAAATTAATAAAATTCTATCATATTGTTCATATGCAATATTCCAATTTTTATCTTGCCAAAATTTTGTTTGAAATGTTGGTAAATAATTATGAAAATTCCAAGCTTCATCATCCATATGAATAGTAAATATAAATTCAAATTGATTATAATTATATAGGATTTTTTCCCAACGTTGACCATCAACTAATGAATAATCACTTTCATATATTGATTCAATAGAAAAATCATATATATTTAAATATTTAAAATATTTTAATTGAGTAAATTGTGTTAATAACCATTCGATTTTTTCCATTTCATTTCTTGTATAAACTAAAGATAATGAAATTAAATTTGAAGTATTTAATATTGGAAGCATTTGATGTTGTTCTATTTCATCATCATCATCATCATCATCATCATCATCATCAATCCATTCATCATCAAGATCAATATCATATGCTTGAAATTTTTTTAAATATGGTGAATTAATAAGAATAGTTCGAAATAATGTTATATTACAAAATCCAATTAATTTAATTTCTTTTAAAAAACATTTATCTGGCCAAATAATTGTTGAATTTAAAAAACGATTTTTTTCAATATCTAAATAAATTTTATATAAAGATTTTTTTTCTAAACTTGTCATTAAAATATCTATAAACGTATCATTATAATATTCATTTGTATTTTTAATTGAAAGTATTTCAAGTTGATCTGTAATTGAAAGAAATATTTTTATCATTTGTTCATTATTATCTATATTTACAAGTGTTAATGAATGAAGACGTTTAAATGATTCAATAGGAAATTTTTTAAGAAAAAGTTTAACTAAACCAATATTATCATTTCCATCTGATAATGTTAATGATATAATTTGTCCGGGATTAATTAATGAACAAATATGATAAAAATAAGACATTGAAATAGAATTTAAATTTAAATCATATTGATCATATGTATGAAGAATTAAATTAAGACGACTACAAACATTATAAAGAGATGTAAAAATTGTATAAGTATCCAATTGTTTTAATATATAATAAATTAATTCAACAGGTAAATTATCTAATGTTGGTAATAATGAAGAATCTATTGTTGTAAATTTTATTTGTTTGTTTGAATTAATTTTATTTGATAAAATTTGTGTTGGTTCATTATTTGGAATTGAAATAGAATTTTGTTCAATAATTGTTGATTTAGTTTTATAATTTTCATGTTTTGTTGTAAAAATTTTACATTGCTTACAACCCATTATTATTTGCAAGGAGACATATATAAAGTTCTTTTTTTCTTAGCAATCAGATTAATCAACAGAAAAAGAAAAAAAAAAATTTATAGTTATTTGATTTTTTTTTCTTTCTTTCTTTTCTTCTTTTTTGTTCGTCGGCGTAAAATAAAAGAATAAGAACTTTTTTTTTTTGTTTTTAGACATTATTATTATTGTGATAATTATCATACGTTCTTTATTAAGAGTTTGATAAAAATCTATTTGTCAAATAAATCATGTTAAGCAAAAACATGAAATCATAATTAGAAGATTGTACAAAACATAATTAAAAACCCGCGACTTTCTTTTGCTATTTAATAAAATTTCTCTATTCTGTTTACTTCTTCAATTGATGTTGAAGGATTTTTAAGTGAGTTATAAATTTCTTTTTTTATTATAGGAGTTGTTGGAGTAACCAACGAAGAACTGAGCTGTTCTTCTACTATTCAAAGCTATATGTGAACTGAATTCTACCATAAGCCCAATCAACAAAAATATTCCCATCATCTGATCTCCTCTCACTAGTGAGTCTTATCATGTTAAAATTTTCATTCCCCTTGTCAAAACTACAATTACGCCAATAATAGGAGACATGACTGTTTTTTTTTATGGTAAACTTTGAAGAGATGTCGTTAATATCCTTTTAAGAAAAATTATCTTATGTTTTTTTATTAGAAGAAAAAAAAATTTTACTATGAATTGAAGTCTAGCAGTTGAATTGGAATTGCTTGAAATGATAGAATGAATATAAGAGCTGCTAAAAATTATCTAATTTGATGCTAAAGGTTAAATGTTGTGTTTTTTGGAAGTTTGGATTCCACAAAAAAATGTTTTTCTTATGCAATGACTTGACGTTTATTACGATTGTAAATTGATATCAAATAATATTTTACACTTCTTATATCTAATGCTTATCGTTAACTAGATCAATTAGCACAAGTAAGTATCGAGTTGTAAGAAATCGATTGTCTTTCAATAAGTGATATTATTGCATAGACCTTGTGCTGAGCTATAAGAGCTTTTTCTAGTTTTCTACTACTAACTTATTGAAAGCTGCATCAAAAAGTCTTTTGAAAGTCGAGATTTGCATCCAACTGAAAAACTCGATTCCAGCTCCGCTACTCTAAGAGTCGGAATAATTGAGAAAAATTTTTTTCCGAAGACCGCTTAGGAGTAATTCTAATAAGAAAAAGTCAAAATTTTACTCTTACATGAATTCTGCTTTACAATACAAGGACTCTCATAATAGCAGATCCACCTTGGAAAAGCGATGTGCTCAACGTAATTGAAGACTTCTCTTTGTCATTTAATCTTTCGCAACATTGGAACTTTAATTAATATATCTACATCAGATTATGCCTAGTTTTTAGATTCTTGAACTGAAAAGTTTTAAAAGACTGACATCAACGGCATTTCTAGTGCGTTAAAATCTTCAAAATCGTTGCCAGTTTTTGAAAAAATCTTTTAATTACGAATTATGAAAATAAACAGAACACAATAGATTGTTGATTGAAAAAATATGTATATTTGAGTATAGAGTCAGTCCAAAAAAGTATTTCAATACTTCTGTTTCTTTTTTTTTATTAATACACATTCCTCACTTCACACGAACTTTTCTATAAAAAATCAGCAATTTCAATTACCATCTCGAATTATAAGACTTTCTTTTCGTGAAAAGACTAGATTTTCTAATATATTTCGAGCAAAATTATTCTGTTCTTCCTACAAAAATACTCTCGTTTCCGACATTCAAAATGATATGATGTAAAAAGCAGCAGCTCTCGTAAATATTCATACCTACGATATTGCAGATGGAAAATCAGTGTGAGGTGTTTTTGTGAAAACAAATCTCTAAGTATACCATTAGACAATCCTTCAAAAGCTGCATGAAATCAGATATCAAAATAATACTCTATTGTCTTCATAAAAAAGTTAAATGTCAGGCAAATATTTTGTAGAGAACATGATCGAGAAAAAAATTGAATCAACTGGTATGTTTATGCATAAATATTATAGGTTTTCTGTCGTCAAATTTTATGAGAATTCTTTGATTCCATTGGTTCAAACGGTAAATAAAAGAAAGAAGACAATAAATAAAAACTTAGGTAGCTTCGAAAGTACATAATAGTTGATCGTTGTTCTAAAGCAAGTCATCATACGCACACACCGGTCCATTATTAAAAAAAAAGCATTTGAAGAACCATATGTATTAATATTTTCATCAGGCTATTTTCGACATATCTTCATCAATATTATATGAGGTACTTTTTCTCGAGCCGAATTTTATTCGACAAAAATACAAACAGATTAAAACGGACGATGATTTATCGTTTTAGCACTATTCTACAATGGCTAAGTAGTTTTATCCTTAGAAAAACTATAACTTATTCTCATGGTCATCTTTATATTGATTGTTGGATAATCCAGAAGTGTCCATTCCCTAGTCCATTCTCCCCAACGATATCATCAGAGAGTTCTCTAAAAAATGCGAAGTCCCTGGGGAATCCCTGTCGTGAGTCCCCGGTGGAGTTGCATATCCCAGGAATACCCAAAACTCCCCGGGGAGTCCTCAAATTTTATGAAGTCCTTCGAAAATTTTCATAAATTAGAATTTTCCAGAGCATTCCAATGGTGGATTCTAGAGAGACCTTGATAATACTCATCAACTCCCTGGAGAATCCCTAGAGAGTCCCCGCAAAATCTCTGGAGAATCCATAGGGAGTCCCTGGAGAGTCCCTGAATCCCCTTTTAACTCCTCCAGGGACTCACGACAGGGATTCTTATAGGGAGTCTCGCCTAGGGATTGAATAAATCGACAAGACTTGATTAAAAACGATGCCAAACTACAAATTCATAAAAAGTCGAGACAAAGAAAAATTGATCAATCAACTCATAATAAATTACATTCATTACTATGCAATGAAACAATGTAGAAAAATATTCTATTTATTATGTAATGAATTATTCGATGAAACTAAGAGTATAGACACAGATATGTCATGATTAATTTTTCAATATTTAAATAATTAGCTTCTAAATCACAACATCAGGACGCAACAACAATAAACAATTATTATATTCTTTCTATAAAAAAAAACAACATTTTCAGACATATTCTCATCAAGGAGCCGCTCAGCAAAAACTACAAAACGTTGTGAGAGCTTTATTTGATGTTTTTTTTAATTTTCAAATAAAAATTATTACTTCTAAAACACACTTGTATCCACATCATTGATTACTGAAAAATAAAAATT